TGTGTGTGTGTGTGTGTGTGTGTGTGTGTGTGTGTTACGTGGGCACAGCGACAGTGTGTGTAGTCAAATGGAAAACACTGAGTAATGTTTTTTTAGACATGATAGAAAAACGATATGATGAGAGCAACATTGCTTGAAGACCTGCTCATCACACGCCAAAGTTTTCAACAAAGATCTCACATGATCTGTCAGTGTTCAGAGTGTGTTGTGGGCATGACTCTCAGCTACTACTAAACCAAACTATCTGTAAAAATAACAAAGTTGTAACCAAATTGACACATGCAAATAAAATCCCCCTCCTTTCAAGGCAGCAGGTGTTGGAAAATAAAATCTCCAGATTTGGTCATCAGATTGAACTATTCCTGACTCGGACACTAGGGGGCGCCACACAGTTTGAAATTCCCGTCCGGTCGCTGCTCTGCAGTGTGGAGACCGAGGAGCTCAGGGATGTTTTTGTGATGCATAATTTACTGAGCGAGTGAACGCGGCTCACTGCTGACTTTTAAACGTTTAATGGGCCGGAGCGTGCCGTGCAAATATTAAACAAGCAGCCATTTTGAGTCTGGTGTCGGAGAGGAGGAGAGCGATCATGTTTTTACTTGTTGTCTGCGTGGYAGTCTGCACTGTTAGCAAAATCTCTCATAAACCAGCGGATCAGTTCTAATAAAACTTTCAGGGAATATCGACTGGATGTAGGACTACAGCTGATTAAAATTTGGAGCCAAACACAACCAAGATGGCTGCCACATCTAGCTAAGAAATTGCTACAACTCATCCAGTTTTACAGATTTGAGCTACAATTTATACTTTGAGCGCTAAAAAATGTGTGACATCCTTCTTAAAGCTTTAGTAAAAAATGTTTAAGTCAACCCTATTTGGTTTGTTAGCAAAATATCTCACKAACCACAGAGAAACACCCCGAAAGTAATTGTTGAACTCAATTCAAGATGGCCGCCRCAGCTCATCAACATYRGCCGACACATAATYGGCYATAACTCACTCMGTTTTACGGCTACTGAACTAAAATGTTGTGTGGCGGTAGCTGAGAGTCTCACGATCAGACATCGAGAAGAAGGAGAAAGTGGGAGCGGAGGAGCACAAACGGGGCAGCTCAGTCCAGCSTCGCTCAGCATGCCTGGCGTGTTGCACCAGTGGGCACCGGCCCCTGACCAGCCTAATGCCACAGGAATACCAATCGCTCCCAACAGAGAGCGGGGAGCCAGATCGAAAGCTGACAGGAGATAACAGGAAAAATGGCTGAATATTAATTGTGTTTGCGCTGCTCCTGCGTTAAATAATTTATAAACGACGGAGCCCCAGAGCTGGGYGCTGACTTTGATTGGGCTAAAAGCCCGTTGCGAATGAGAGAGGAGATAAGGAACAACCTGGAGCTGGGTGAAAACTGAGGTTGGCCTCCAAGATACGAAAGGTTT